ATGTTGCATGTTGCATGTTGTATGTTGCATGTTGCATGTTGTTTCCCAAGCTTCAAATGTATCATATTCATATTTAAATAATAGACAAGAAAAAGATTTGTTGTCCAAAGTTCTAATTGTTTCTGGTGGAGGTGTTTGCGAACATTTGGACATTGAAATGCGTCACAACTTAAAAGCTCTGTAATAATAATATAATAATCATATATAGATATATAGTAAGTCCAACAAGCCCACATTTCATGTTTTTATAAGTTGACAACGGTTTGTCTTGTCTTGGTTTTACCGTTTTATTCAGGGTGAGGAAGCCACCTCGAATTGGGAAAAAGAAGTTGGTAAAATTCTCGATGACTGGCCGTCATCCAGTGTTACAGCTTACTATTTCACACAATACAGGTGAGACGTAGATGAGCTGGCTATGTTGGTTTGATATCACCAGCATCATTATGATATTATTATTTTCATTGTCACCATGATGATGATGATGATGCTGATGATGATGGTGATGATGGTGGTGATGATGGTAATGATGATGATGCTGATGATGATGATTATGATGATGATGATGGTGCTGATGATGATGATTATGATGATGATGATGATGGTGATGATGACCGAGTGAATACTTAAGAAGGAAACTAGTGACCGCTAGTTATTATCAGACCTTATCAGATGATCAGACCTTATCATCATGTGCATTATCATGCTACAACCAACACCTTCACAGCACAATTATCATCATCACCATCACCACAACTATCACCATCATCAACATTAACATTATCCTTATCCCCTTCACCATCACTATCAATCCTCCCTTCCCCAAAATAGCTTATCGTATTCTTTTGCGGGGTAGGCAAGGGAATTCATTGTCTTATTTGTTGTGGTATAGTTTTCGTGATGCGGCTGGAAGCGCCATTCAAGGTGACGTGGTACTCTTATCAACTGGCTACCTCTTGATTATCATATACGTGTCATTTATGCTTGGCAACCTCACAAGACTAAGACTCAAGGTATGATAGGACTCCAAGGAAAGAGATTTAGTCAAAGGATTATCGATCATACATGTAGATGGTATAATGCTGGAATCCCATGCCATTCACACAAACACCATGCTAGTCACTCCAAGATGGATGAAAAAATCGGTTCGAGTTGGTGTCGCAGTGCATTTTGGGGCATTCAGTGGACATATTTCCAAGATGGCGTCTATTTTGTTTTTACTTAAACATATTTTGTCGTTACATTAASCCCAAGAGCGTAACGCTCATCGAGGGGGTCTATGTCGTAATTATATTACAAATATATAGTTATGTGGACGAAAGAAAAATAAAATATATACATATAGGAACAAAAACTATAAAGGAACGATTACTATAGTGTAAGTAATATAGGTGGCGTAAATTTAAATTAAGGTATACCAGTTATTTTGTTCCCTAAGAAGTCCCAAAATGCACTGCCATGGCCAACYCGACCCAGTTCTCCCCTCAACCTTGGAATGGCTAATATGGTGTTTGTGTGAGTGGCTCTCACGCCCCCTCGATCATAGCCACAGGAATCCCAATTCTAACCAAGGAATCCCAAGTAGAGCTGCCTGCTATTTATTCAACATCTTGCCCTGTACCTCCTGTATCTCAACTAACTAATACACCTTATTTCATTGTTACCAGATCTGGCTGGCTATATTAGGTGTAGTGGGTGTGGGTATGGCCATAGGTGTATCATTTGGTTTATCATATGTGTGACTATCTCAACTAACTAATACAACTTATTTCATTGTTACCAGATCTGGCTGGCTATATTAGGTGTAGTGGGCGTGGGCATGGCGATAGGTGTATCATTTGGTTTATCTAGTGCTTTTGGGGAGATGTATGGACCTGTCCACTCAACTCTACCCTTTTTACTGCTTGGTAAGTAGGAATTGAATAAGCAGCGATGCGCATTCAGACGCAATATACCTTTTAACTGATACCGTGGCCACCTTTGATGTAATCTATTGCAACATTTGAAGAAGAATTTAAGTCATTATGCCCACTACTTTTGGTSAAGAGAATATGAAATAAGAGAAGAAATCCCCGCGCCCCATCATGAGCACTCTTTGATGCTATTTTTAGAATCTTTGATGCTATTKTTAGAATCATTCTTTTGATCGTTTGATTTTTCTGCATGCGCAAACTGCGCACGCTCTACGCTGCTTGTTCATGCTTTCTTGTCTTTTTAAATAACGTGATGAGAAAACAGCAAAGAACTCGCGCAGTATGCGCGTGCAGAAAAACAAAAAATAGCAAATATCATTCTAAAAATAGCACCAAAAGGTGCCTGTGATGCTTACRAGCATGAATACCATGAATAATTCGTTTTGGTGCATTGATGCTAACTCTAACAAAAAGTATTCACAGGGGAACATTATACCCGCATGTTTTGAGCATTGATAAGTATAACAAAATTAGGGGTTGTTGCAATTGATGGGTTGCAAGCATTCCCAAGAGAGTTAAAAGACAAAAACKTGGCGGCCATTGTGGTACCGTTAACAATGGATGCTAATGAGAAATCTTTTGTTACATGGTACCAACATGGCCGCGATGACGTAACGTGCAAACGAATAATTCAGTGCGTGTTAAACTTTCTTAATTTTTACTTCTGTTTTCAATGTTTGTCAGGTATYGGTGTAGATGATATGTTTGTCATAGTCCAGGCATGGAGTAATCTCTCTCTCAATAAACACAAGAATCTGGCTATCGAAGAACGCGTTGGTCAGGCATTGAAACACGCTGTACGTACCTTAACTTTATAACAACATAACTTTATTTGAAATACAACGTCATCCGGTTATATCCAATCAGCGCACGAGATCATAAATGCTTATCCAATAGAAATGTTCATACACNATATTTGGATGGGGCCTATATTCGGAGGGGCTTATAATCTTTTTGTGATACCAGAAGATTTGTGGTAACATTTTTATTTTTCTAAATGGAAATTTGAAAACGCAAACCAAGGGAGCACATTAAAATTTTGTTTGTGTAAGGAAAGTCGTTGTTCTTGGTTGATCTATCTAGCGCGCGCAATCCATCTTGTGACAGGCGTTCCTCGTAGTGTTTTGGTTTCGGCCGATCCGAATGGCTTACGATCGTGTAAGGAAGGGAATGACGAGTGTAATAGGAGGGGAGTGAAACAGTGGAAATTTTATCGTCCTATGCTCGTAGCAGATTGCTATGCACACAGACGGTTGCTATGCACATTGATGGCTGGATTACACAATCAATATTTTAACGTGCTCCCTTGTCGAAACTTGAAGTAAGCTGAATTTATGAATTTACATAACATGAGCGTATGAGTTTATGTTCATGATGACTGTCGAGTCACTCGTTTGAATGTTTTTGAAATCGTTAATTTGAAATTTGAATTTTACTACAGAATAATCACTAGTTTATTTTCCGTATCTAATGGGGAAGCTATCAAAACTACGGAGGCATATTTAGTTTACAAGACCGAGTGTAACAAAAAAGGGATAAAGCCATGTGATCAGGCAAACTTTTCAACAGTAGGATTATTCTTGATTATGTTCACCAGTTCGTGAGCCGATTTTTTCCTGTTCCGACGCCGGCGAATGAATGTATTGTCGATCCTCATATATATTTTTGATACGGTGATAAAAACACCGCTTGCGCCCTTTCTCAACTCCTTTAAAATATATCTAATTAAAGATAATTTTCCGCTTCCAGCTATTCCACTAATAAACACACTAAAACCTTTTTCTACGATATTAAAAACTTTGTTTTGCTCTTCGCTCAAGGACGCCATTTTGTTTGTTTTCATCTGTTTGACGTTACACGTCATTTTTTTGAATTTGTCGCGTAATCCGTTTCTATAGATACTGCTACCAGCATAGAGCAAAAAATATTTTCATTTTGGATTGTTTGATTGGCTGAAAAGGGTCACGTGGTTTACAGTTTCACTCCCCTCCTTTTTTACTCGTCGCTCCGCTCCTCGCAAGATATTCGTCGGTTTTCGGAGTAATTCGCTAGCCCGACTAAAGCAAGGAACGCCTGCCATGAAGTGTAGCGCGCGGTAAACAAGAACTACAAGGAACGCCTGCTATATCTTAGATTACTGGCGATAAAATCGAAGATAAACCAACACAATCAAAATTTTAACGTGCTCCCTTGCGCAAACACACAACAACATAACTTTATTTGAAATACAACGTCATCCGGTTATATCCAATCAGCGCACGAGATCATAAATGCTTATCCAATAGAAATGTTCATACACGGCACGGAACGGCACTTTCTAAGTTTGAAATTTTCAAAGTCATACGAAATTTGCTCTATAGTTTGCACTATTTTTTTTAACGAAGCTTTTTTTTAACCTCCAGCTCGAAATGTCTATAGTATGAGGAGTTCATACGGCCGTTGAACGTATTTATTTTATAAAAGGGGTCTTATGATTATATTATATACCGTGATCTTTACTAAATGACAAAAAATAATTCAATATTTAGCCTATGAATTCTTTGCGGGTATCATAAAACAGGTCTTATTAATGTGATAATGTTTTTAAATTTTCAGGGTTGTTCCATCACTATYACGTCTTTGACTGATTTCTTGGCGTTCATGATTGGCGCAACTACGGTGAGTAAAATACAGCACGGAGAGAAACTTTTGTTTCTCTTGTTTCGCGCTATTTTTCAGAACATGAGCAGTTACCCGCGCAATCTTGTGCTGATTTTGGAATCTTCCGAGCATGCGCAAGATGATGTTTTATCTGGCGTCCAACGCTTTAGTCATAGAGYCAGCCCGTACCGTTCGGAACGAGTTACGAGATTGGATTAAAAAACAATAGATTGGTCATCCAAACAATAGCACTAAACCTAACYTTACAAAAGCGATACTTTACTTAGGGAGCAATGAAAATCCAGCTTTCGAGCGGAACTGGATTACTATAGTCATAAGCAAWCTCAAAAATATTTAGGCCTATGTCATAATGAAACCAGTAAATGACCGCTTTTGTGTMGGGCAATTGCTCCAACAGGACTGACCTGGAAGGTCTTTGGTTCTATGCCTGTTAGGGACTGATTTTATTCTGATTTCTTTCCACCTAGTGACGAATGATAAATAATTTTTATACGTACTTCCTAGCTAAAAAATAGATTTCGCAGCARTAATTTCTCAATATTACCACTCTTTTCATTGCTACACGCTGAACGAGACAACAGTCGCGACAGGGAAATTGGGCAATACACYTCCGTCAATCAAATAAATTGGTCGGTACCTTTATATTCTCTGATTGGCGGTAGTGTATTACCCTATTTCCATGTTGAGACTGTTGTCTCGATCAGGGCGTAAAAAGAGTGGTAAACCAATGTGACTAAACTATCATTTTTTTTTTGTCCGTTTTAGGTTCTTCCTGCTTTGAAGTCTTTTTGCATTTTTGCTGGGATAGGTAAGAAGCACTATGTTATGTTTTAGAACTGACTTCCCATACATGTCTCTTGCGCATGCCCAAGTCAAGCCACTCATGCGCACTGGGTCATGGTTTGGTTTGGTTTGTAATGCATTATGTTTTATTTTATCTCTGCGTCTTTTTGTGTGACTCGTCAATTTTGCTATGATTTCAGGAATTCTTGCAGATTTTGCCATACAGTCTACATTCTTCACTGCTTGTCTTGCCCTTGATGCTAAAAGGTAATGTATTGCACCGCTAATCCTATCATTCAGTCCCATCTCTCCCATTTCGACTGTCCATCTATCCATCCTTCATTCCGTCCGTCCGTTCTTCCGTCCCTCCGTCCTGCGTCCGTCGATTTATCCAACTCAGTTTTAAATTCCATTCTCACATCCCATTTTTCCATCTATCCATCCCCGCCGATCCATCTCTCCTTATCCCATTCATTCATCCTGCATTTAGTAATCCATCCACACGACACACCTGATGTCATCTAATGAAGAAACTGGTTGACAGACAGACAGACAGACAGTCAGTCATGCAGACAGTTAGACAGACAGTCATTAATCATCCTATTATATTTCATTCCAGACAAGAGGGCATGCGYGATAGCTGCTGCTGTTGTATCAAACTCTCATCAGACTACACCGAATCAGAATGCGGTAGTAAAGACAGACTGAARGATTTCTTTGCTCGATTCTATGCCAAAGTTGTTCTTTCTCTTCCAGGAAAGGTAAGACTGGTATAYAATRYCTATGTATGYATATTAGTCCCTAGGGTTTGCAGTAYTTCATTGTARTACGTATTAGTACCWAAGGCTTTATAGTATTAACTGTAATACACTTATAGTGAGTCATTAAACTGATGATGGACAATGGATATCGTYCGAAAWATCTTACTCAAAAAACCTCTAGTCATTCTTTTCGTATGTAAGACTGGTTAGAAATAAAACAAATGATTTAGATACAAAAACATTCGAGCAAAGATCTCCTTCGTACGTATGAGTGCCCATCTCTTTAGTGCCCTCCTTTCTTAACCAATCACGACATGGTCAACACACACGGTCCAATCATAATGATTGGATGTAGAAGCCATTTGAGAATCATGGTACGCTCTTGTTTCGTATGAGTAAAAAGCAAAGTAGCATGTTAGCTTTTTGCCGTATGTGTTACCATAACCGAAACCGATTGCTGTGATTTGAAGATCGCACGATAAATATAGAATGTTTTTAATGTTACACGTTTGCTTCCTAATCATACGGGAAGCGCTCTCAAAATCTTCATTGTGCGCAAAATGGCGGATTATAGCCTGATTTCATAACTCGGTGTTTTCGCTCTTTCCTCTATGCGGATTATTGTAAAACATTTTATTTTTGACTCCCTTTTTCAGATAGTTGTAATGGTTATCGCGGGAACGCTGTTCGGCTTTAATCTCTACGGTACTTTRATGTTGCGTCAGTACTTTGATCAGATCTGGTTCTTCCCTCCAGACTCTATGGCCTACAAGTTTACCATTGCAAATAATAGGGTARGAGGAAACGAGTGAAAAACTTCTGCGCATGCTYTAAATCCGTATGCAAATTAGACAAAACGTCTTCATGCTATTGTACAAAAATATGTTAATTTGGCTTTCAAACATGCCTGATAAATTGGACTTCACAAAATACGAAAACGTAGTGTCCATGCTTGAAACTTAAGACTAATTCTTTCATATTGTGTTTGTTAATACAGTATCTTGGTCTGACAAAAGTATACTCTCGAACTTTTTTGTATACTCGGAGAAAACAAACATTTATTTTCACACTCAAACTCTCCTAAATTCTTAGAAAACGTGCTGAAATGCACGGATGCGCAAACGTTTTTCTCTAGTGTCGGGTAAGAGAGCATATTGACATTTTGTCAGCGCATGCGCTCGTCAAGTAGAATAATAAAGCGGTTAATTTRTTATGCGCATGCGTAGTAGAGTTGTATTGACAGTTTTCATAGCCGCCATGTTGGCTGATTTTAACAAAAGATTCTTCATTAGTGTCTTTTGTCATATCATCCAACATGGCCGCCGTGTCTTTTGTTATTTCATTCTCTTGGGAATGATTGAAAACCAGCAATTATCCTCTGTTGTATTCATTCACCAGGCTTACTGTCAGTGCAAATTTTTGTGAACATTCCACGAGTTGTATCACTGGATACATGTAATTYTAGSACGTACTTCCCATGCACCRGTSTSAACKTTTATRTYCTATGWTTTTGAACCCAACAACGACTTCRCAATCGAGTGCATATGGCAATATATACTTACGTTCTTTCTTCTTCTCCCGCCAGTATTTCCCAGTAGACGGRGACTCAGCTGCGATATACACAGGTACATTGATTGCACATATGACTGGCTGTGTTGGAATTTCGATCTAGACCCTTGTTGCAACTCCCAGAGCACGAGGGGACAAGACAATTAATTTGAATTCTCAGTACAGCAAAAGTTGTGGTTTGGCCCACTGAATCGAGGAATATCCCGCCTGGGTTTTGTACCATAATCTTCTACGAGTTCGTTATCTTAAAAACTTCGCAAGATTATGGGGTTTATTTGGCTATAATGATTTATGAATTTATATAGCGCCTTTTCTATACGAATATAATCAAAGGCGCTTTACATTGAGTTGTGAATGACAGATTGATTTTATGCAATTAATAAGCATGAGAGATGGTTAGTATGAATTGTAGGCACTGAGGGTGGTCACTGCCAGGGTTTCTTTACGTCCTCAATGATTCTGGAAGAACTAGTATCAAAGAATAGTGTTTACAGGAAATGGAGARTTAAACTGAAGAGACGGCTCAATGCGTACTATGACTTTGTGGTGATCGGGAACTGTAGTATTTATCAAATGACAAAGAGAACTATTGATTTAAAGCTGTGGTAACGCTCAAAAATCCAACAAAGTAATTAACATGGATTTGAGCAGCGCACAGCCTYTTTCATTTTCTGTTCCATTTATATACAGCTATTTCAAAAAAGGTTGAATATTGAATACTGCATACTGAATAGTGCATCCAAGACCAAAGTGCATTGTGGGTCTTGTTAATTTGAAATAAAAAGTAAATWAACAGCAATTAAYTCTCTACATGTAGTTAGTATATTGTTTCAGATGGAATACACTGAAAATAGAATAAATRATWATTATTAATCCTACTCTAGACAGTGTCACTATGACCCACAATGCACTTCGGTCTTGGAATTCAGTATGCAGTATTCAGYATTCAACTTTTTTTKAAATAGCTGTATATTTTTGTCGTTGTTATACTAAATTCTTACAATTTTCTCTTAGGGAAACTCGATTACTTCAAAGATCAGGGCAAGCTTCACAATGTGCACCTAGTAGTTGCTGCAGATGAGTATGTTGTGGGTACTTCTATGGTCAGTTGGTATGATGAGTACATCGCCTGGGCTATTAACAACAAACCAGCCGCAGCTTTTGATGGTAAGAACCTTGGCGGAAGAAAGATTGGATTAATGTTATGGCGCTCTTCGCTGTGGTCCTTCTCCTCTATTTCTCTTTGCTTATGGACAGCTCTTTCACGCAACGAAATAGTATTTAGCTGGTTATGTTTTTCGGGGGGGGGGGGGGGGACAAGAAAACGTGGAGCAGAAGCCTCGACTTGTGTTACTCACTGTAGTAAGTGAGTAACGAGATCCGAGAGTTGAGAGTCTACCTCACCCTTGATTGATTTGATAATTTATAACTTATTCTTTAAATGATTTTTTTGTTCATATTCAGCGGACAASCATATAACGAACGAGACGCTGTTTTATTCGTGGTTGTTTGAGTATCTGAACGGCMAGGGAAAAACCTTCTTGACTAATGTGGTGTTCATGAACACAACCAATGGAAAGAGAATATCGGTAGGTGACATCAATACAAGAGTACAAACCTTATTTTCATTTAACAATGAAATACTCACTTTCTGAGATGATCGTGATCTAAGTCAGGGCATGTCTAACTCACAGATCCAACCTTGATGCAAACTCTGGGCTAATCGAAGTCAGCTAGAAAGAATTAGAAAGTATTCGTCTACACACGATTAAACCTCTTAACCTCAGGCGCAAKGTTTTCCCATTTCAGACCACGTGTCATTCCCTAGAGTATTATTTCTTTGTTTGACGGTTGTATGTGCATGAGAAGACACATGAATATTTGTACAACTCAAACAAAGAATCTTATTCAAAAGAATGACACGTGGTCTGAAATGGAAAAACATTACGCCCAAGGTAAGATGCGTCTTTTCATAAACGCTTATGATGTCCAAACGTTTTGAATTAATGCTACAGAATGCGCGCATAAACTTCAAGCACAAAGACATGGATTCAACTCAGACCGAAGTAAAAGCCATGGAACAGTTGAGGGACAAAATCAAGAAAATCTACTCAGACGAGATGTTGGTTTTCAACTATGGCCAGCGCTATATTAGCTGGGAAACTAACAAGGTGATTATAAACAATACTAAATGTGTGCTGATAAGGCAGGAACTGTGTTTAAAACCAGTTGGCGATGTGGTCACAGTGCGAACGTATGTATGTGTTTGATAACCCCGGAAAAACGCTTGCGCATGCGTGCACTTCAGCACGTTTTCTAAAGGCCGGTTTAGACGGTACGATTTTCGCCTACAACTATTGTATACAACACGCTCGCGCCATCCTACAACTCGAGTCGTAGCGTGTAAATCAAGCCTACAACTCGCCTACGACAGACGCGAGCGTGTTGTATACGATAGTTGTAGGCGAAAATCGTACCGTCTAAACCGGCCTTAAGAATTTTGAAGAGTTTGAGTGAGAAAATRAGCGTTCGTTTTCTCCACGTATACAAAATTGTTCTTATTTTAGATACTATTATATTGTAATCGTAATGAAGATTATAAAAAATATTTTTGATTTTCTTTGCTGAAGATCATTATGGAGGAACTGATCCGTAACGTTGCCCTGGCCTTGCTCGCAGTGCTCATCGTTACTGTAGTAGTCATCGCCAACTTGTGGACGTCCCTGATGGTGCTTATCTGTGTTGCCTTAACTCTGGTAAGTCGATCATTTTTCTCAATTCACCTTTTCGGCGCTAGCCGTCACGTGGTATAAATCGTGTTGGATTGTGTTACGGTCACCAAAAMGTTCGGACATCGTTCTCAGATTCTCATACAAATTCACTGACTTTAAAGAGAAAATATAGGTAGATTTCTTTAGTTAGCTCTCTTAACAGCAATTAAGAAAAGCTTTTACTTAATTTTACTTGTATTTAGAGAACTAACTAAACAAACCAAGTAAATAGTTCATTTAAAGTCAGTACATTCGTACCGAAATCCGAGAACAATGTCCGAACTTCTTGGTGACCGTAACACAATCCAACWCRATTTATWCCRYGTGACGGCTAGCGACGAAAAGRTGAATTTACTTCTGTAAATTTTCACGCCAAAACTTATTAGCTTCTATGAAATGCGAGCATTTGAAATTTCATAAAAATCAAACGTCCCGAAACTTATAGGTTTTGCTTTCATCATAGGTCAATTTATGTGGACTGATGCACTTCTGGGGACTTACCATCGATACAGTAACTACCGTGCTGATGGTCTTAGCTGTTGGCCTAGCAGTCGATTATGCGTCCCATATCGGGCATACCTTCATGGTCACTGCTGGCACAAGACAAGGTTAGTAGTCCATTATGCCTGGACCAACTTTTCTCAGTAGCTAACACGCCTCAGAAATAAAAGAAAAATGAGTGATCATGTTTTGCTAATCGCTACCACAATCACAACAAATTAACCACAACCACAAGCATAGTACCCCTACCACCACTAACACCCCCACCAACACTACAACGAYCGAGTACCACCTCCGCRTCCTACTACCTTCACTGCCGTCACCACTATCACCAGGAAAAACAACAATGATACTAATAGCTCTAATAACTCTTTATTGAGTTACAGACAAAGTCATTGTTTTCCAATATAGCTCGTTAAAATCAAAAAAATACTTAGAACAATAATTAAAGCTTAAGCAAAACCATCAATTTCCACCAACAGAACGAGCCTTCATCACACTACGTGACATGGGTCCTGCTGTTTGGAATGGTGGTTTCAGTACCTTCCTTGCGTTCATACTMCTAGCCGTCTCGAATTCGTATGTCTTCAAGTCGTTTTTCAAGGTAACGAAGAAAAAAAATTATGGTGCTTTCTTCTCTCCAAGTCATGATCGATTGGATCTTTGCTGTTCTACCACAGTCACGTGATCTTTATATTCATAGTCACTTGACATCCAAAATGATTTTTTTCCTCTCCAAGGTGTTCTTCGGAGTAGTTCTCTATGGCATGTTTCATGGTCTGTGCTTCCTTCCCGTCATCCTCTCAGCCATTGGTCCAGCTCCTTATGATTCAGCGCGTCATCACGAACTACACGAAAAGCGGATYTCTMSMTCCCAGTCCCCAGTCCACCCCATTAACTCRGCCGAGGATAACCGTGGGTTTGAAATGAATGACAAACCCAAAAGTGCTGGGCAAAGAAGCGTGAATAAAACTGCTAACGGACAAGGAGAGYATTACATACCTCCCCCTGACTACCAAGGTAACATGAATAGAACTTGATTGGTTAATCTGATGAAACATTTTGTAGACATTTTGCACAATCACGTGATAGCAGCCATCTTGGAGGACAGACAAATTTTAAAATCTTATAGCGAGAGAATATTATTCTTTGCAGTCATTCCTAAGACAGTCAGTAAACGAAGACATGGCAGCCATGTTGGTGGTATAGTCAATGGAAGCTATTGAATAAACTTTTGTTTAAATACAACCAACATGGCCGCGGTGACGTCGCGGTGACTCGATATGAAAACGAAGAATTAAATTACAACTTGTGAAAAATTTAAATAATTCTGTCGTCTAACATGGCTCGGTATAGTTATTTATAAAATAACTGCTATAAATCTCGCGTTCTGATTGGTTGTGAGCGCGTGCTTTATGAGAGCACATAGCACGCGCGCGCACTTTCAGTTGYGTCATTCCTATCTAAAATAACGGTTATTGTATTTTGTATTTTATAAAAGAAATAAAARACTTGCTTACTGTGCTGTGTGAAATTATAAMGCACTTGGGGATTGGCAGAACACTCGAGAAGTGTCCAGAAGCWCTCTGTTACGCGTCGTTCTTTTCCTAACACTTCTCTCGTGTTCTGCCAACCCCCGCGTGCTTYATAAATGCACACAGCACGCGCGCGCGTTTTCTATTTCTTCAATATTCCCTGCATGCCCAATATGTTTTGACTAATTTGCACACGGATTTAGAGCATGCCCAGACTTTTTTCACTGACGTKTCACAGGTTGCTGCAAAGTGAAATATAATTAAACCAACCACGCCCTATTTCTATTGTCTGATGTAGTATTTCAATTTCGATGGAAAACCYGTCCCGGGTTTTAAATTCAACATTGAGACCGGGGGAGAAAACTCAAGATCCGGGACAGGTTTTCCATCGAAATTGAAATACTACATCAGACAATAGAAATAGGGCGTGGTTGGCTCTTAAACCAATTAATCTTTATTTAAAACATAATCACGATAAAATGTAAATTGTTTACTAAACTCATAAAATTGACTTGTTGAAATCCATAAATACGGGCGAGTTGCCATTTGATAAATTATTSGTTCCATTTTATGATTAAAAGCTTTTTGCTTCCTGGTTAGAAATGAATTTTCTTTTYAATTTGCCAAAAATTCAATAACTAATACTGTTAAACTATAATGATCCATGTTAAATTTGGAAAACCTGTAACAATAAACAGTTAATTTTAAATAACGTTAACTTACGGCTTGCCAATTAAAAATGTCTAAAAGGATGTTCTGATTATTTAATCTAACAACTGTATGAATAAAAGTTTTAAACTCCTTCCGTCTCTTGTTTAATCCTTCGTTATTAACCGCCCAAGTAATAATATCTCCTTCTAATCGTAGTTAATAGTCTAATGTTTATTAACTATGATTTACCTAAGAAAAATATAGCAAGATATAAAATATATGCAGTGGCGGATCCAGGGGAGGGGTGCAGAGGGTGCGCACCCCTTCCTGGTTCGACTTTGTCCCCTGCTTCAAATATTTAACCAATACATAATTATGTTTTTTCCCTTTGTTTCTAAGGGGTGCAYCCCTCCCTGGGTTAACTGTGTGCTGCACCCCTCCCTGGACAAATTCCTGGATCCGCCCGTGATATAATAAAACTAGCGTTAAGGTTTCTCCTCGAAACTCTTTTCTGAATCTGCAAATCTGCGTAATACTTGAATAACCAAAGCGCGACCAAAGCCATTTTGTGCTTCCTTCACTTTCCCCGCGAAAGTAGGAGTTTAGCACGAAACACCAGGGAAGTGCAGTGATCGTGACAGTGCAGTCTCTGAGCATTTTGATTGGTTAAAGATTGATCGCCCGCGCTTTGATTTATTGATCTAATATCTCGATTTATTTCTGTTATTGTTTGAACCAGATGTTGCCGTTGAGGACATTCTGAAAGCATCTTAAGGGCAGAAGGCGTGACACTTAATCAAGAATAATGCGTGACACACATTCACTTAATGATATGGAAAGGGTATATCATTTTAATTCGTACACTCAC